ATGGTCGAGTGATACGCAAAATCTCAATCTGAGTAAAACATTGAACTCGTGTTTCACCCTTACCGGCAGTGCGCGTTGCCATTAAACTACCAAGGCGCTACCACTTTGCGACCACTCTTTTTTTGATATGAACTATCTTGCTGTCAGCAACCAATCCATAAGGGGCTCCTTCTGGAAAGCGCATTTAGTCATTGAATGCAGTTGAACTGACAGCTTTTTAATATGTGTAATCTCTAATTCAAGTGCTTTCGCGCTGTTGTGTGATGTTGGGATATTCATATGAGAAGATAGTTATACGCAAAAATTCGACCTGACGGACGGATTATGGGTTCAGCTCCTGCCTGAGGTTGATTTTTTGTGCACCATTTAATCTTTCTAAATGAATATTTGAACATCAAGCCGCTATTGGAGAGCAGTTACATCGGAGAAATATAGGTCATGGAGAGATTATTAGAGTTATTATTGTCCAATGGTCATCTGCGTTCAACATTGATAACTTCACAATTTTCACCACTCATTTTCGTTATCATTGAAGCATTTCAATTTGAGCTCGTCTGCTAAACAATGCTACGAATACAAAAGAGAAAAGCACTGGGGAAATCTGAAGTCTCCTAGATACATTCCAAGGTGGCCTCTGTAGAATTAAAGAGCAGAATACAATCCGCTTATTTATACAACACGGTTATTCTCATTTGTATTCTATCATTCTATCTAATGAATGGCCAAGTATTGCAGTCATGTAACAATCAATTTGTTCGAAATTATCATATCAAATTCTTTCTATTTTGCTGTTAGCGATGGTATAATGTCACAGATATATCCAGTGATGTAGATAGATGTCAAAACTTTTGCTCCAGACCGGATTGGAACTCGCAAAAATTACTATGCTCACACTGGTAACTTCAAACATTCAGATGTTGAGAAGCCAACAATTTATTACAGACTTGCAGTTCCTCTAAAACTTCGTAACCACTCCTGGTAAGACATACTATTCTGCAATATACACGAAACAATCGATGGTGGAGTATGGTTTATAAGAAGCTTCAAACCTATAAGCCAACATAAGTGATGTTATCCCAAGTCAAATGGAAAAGTCTCCGTAAGTCTGCATTTTGTAACACACTAAATGAGTACAGCTTTTGAGGCATACAAAACAGAGAGAAATTCAAACACTGAAGAAAGTTCGCCTAGTACTTTTCGTCATCCACAGGGTCGGGAATGTCTGTATGAGTATCTGTGTAAAACAGAACATCGTAGTTTGTGCTAACGGCAGAGGTGTGGTTGTAAGAGTCCTTTGTAAGAGCTTAGCATAACTGATCTCTTGCACGACACACTGCAATACTGATTGAGGAAGAAGAGTACCGAATTCCCGACGGCGCAGTTCTAGATTTTGCAAGATGTTATGCTCTGCGTGTAAGTTTACTCAGCCAGAAAAACAAGGAAGTTCAGGGTAAGATTTGAAGTATCATATCGCAGTATTTGCTTCGTACTCTGTCGGGAGAGACCATTTCAGACACAATCTCACACTCACCGGGCTTTACCTGTCCATGAAAGACGACAGGTATGGTACTTCGAGTGTAAGCCTTGTCTTCTGACAAATGTTTGTTCTTGATCTGGTATGACTCGTTCAGGAATTAGAGCTCATAATACAATCCGATTATTTGCGAGTCTTTTCTAACCATTATTCGGCATCGATGAGAGCACAAATTGTCTTTCTAGTAAATACATTCTAACGAGGATATCTTACATGGAACAGATATGCCTCTAAGAGATTAGACTTTGTTATTTTTATTTAACTATGCTCCGAGTCAAATTCATCTTTTAGGATGATGCAATGTTCTTACCTTTCTTCTTGATATTCAGAGATTACTAAACTCGTTATTTGTCTGTGTGATGATTAAAGTCTGTTGATACATCAGATGTATATTTCTGCCCTTCCAGACAATTCTGGGATTATTTTTCCAAATGAGGAGTTTGAAGTGATACCAGTAAACACGTGTGTCATTGTTGCATGGTATCTCTAATCACTACTAAAGTCTTGTACGGTTATCAACCTGATGCAGCACGAATTTCCCTTATCAAAAGATTCTCAAGTTTGACAAAGCGCAGAAAACACTACAGTCAAAAGCCTTGCAATCTGTATAAATCTAATGCGTAGTCTATTATCTTTTTTGGTTCTTTAAGTTTCATAACAACTGTCATGAAATTTGCTGATAAAGGCCATCTCCTGGTAGAAATGCTATCTTTCTCCCACTAAAATTTCCGTAATGATTTGCGCGTTTTGCTTGTGAAAAATGAGACAAAATTCACTCGTCTCGCTTATGTCTTCCGTGTAATTTTTCGAGTTGTTTTCCCAGTTGTCCTTGAGTTGAGCAGGAATGATCAAATAATTTATTGCATTTCAAACTCTCGAGGAGAATGGTTTTGATATCGTAGAAATCGAGGGAAACGGTGCTATAAATGATTAGTACACTCATCGTTGGCATTGTGTATACTATTCTTCCACTTCTGCTACTATTCGTCTACACAGTTTTCAACATTGTAAGTGTTTGTGTTTGTTAATTGACTTTTTACGCAGTTTATGGCACGTGTGACTTCAATCCATGACTTTCTGAAATGATAACAAACTGGCTTTTTTGCACTTTTTCTCAGGCTTTATGGAGAAATTACGAATTCCGCAAGCTCAAAACCTGTCGGTTAATGTTTTATGTTGGAATTTTGGACAGTATTCAACTGATCTGTAACACGTATGGTGGAATTCTCACTATATGGCCAAGTATAAACACTCATCTACCATATCTTAATCGGGTTCGCGATCTCGACTCTATGTTTGACATCTTAATGAAATTCGATTTTGACAAAGAGTCGCCAAAGGAAATATTTTCTAAGAAAAAGGCTACTTACTCATTTCATTAATTCATTTTCTGTGAATTTCAAGAAATGTGTGTGTGATGACGTCATCAGATCAGGTAGTTCTTATTTCATTTACAACTGGATTTCATGACTATGTTTCACAATTCGTCCCTATCTCATCTTGTTTTTAGGGATGTTTCAGATGACTAAGAATATTTTTGTTACTACAAAACTTTGTAGATTGTAGGAGCCACTACAAACTCATCATTGTTGGGGCTTCTTTCTTTATCGTTCACGATATCTCTATATCGTCTATTAATTATCCGAAGAGTAGCCGACGCCAAATCTGATTTCTCATTAGCAATGAAGGTAGGTAATAGTTAATAGAAAAGCGACATCTGTCACATTCTTTGCTCACTGAAATTCCAAAAGTGCTTGAAACGAAATTTTTTTGAACACTACGGCAGCACTGTTAGCTCGTTCCTACCATTTAGAATGTCGCCTATCTTTTAGAGCAAAAGAAGGATTACGACGACATTTCTTAGGCATCGACTGCTTCTAAAACCTCGCAATAAACATGCAAAGTAATTTCAAAGAAAAGAATGCTTGAAGCCTAAGCGAGGTTGGTACGCCAGAGATACACACCGGTGTTTCGGAGGTCTCGCCCTTCTCGTCAGTGACCCACGCCCCACTTTAAGCCCCGCATTGTAGCAAGGAGGGAGGCGTATGTAGTGACGGCACAGTGTTCAATGACACTGTGTCATCACCACTTCTCAGTTGATGGATCTCGGCTGGTGGAACAAAAATGATCCATGGCACCGAGTTTCTAAAACCTAGCAATGAACATTTTGAACTATCCCAAAAAAGAAGAATAAAGAGAAAAAAGCTAAGAAATATATTGAATTGCTCAAAATTCAATGTCGGATATGTAATTTCAATTTCTTGGGGATGTTTTGAATTTTTTGTTGTTTCGTGATATTGCATATTGCAAAAAACTCATTAGTAATAATCCATTTGCAATGTAAATTATCTCAAAATAAATTTCAAATGTTAGATTAGCAGAAGTAAATTCACAACAAGTCGGTACGTAGTCCAGCCTAATAGCTCAATCACTAGTGGGGCATGAGAGCAAGGAATTGTTGACAAATTTATATTACAATGCAGATATTGATGATTTCCCTATGAGAAATGCATTTACAGATTAGGGAGGTTATAGGCGTCCTTCCATTAGTGACAACAATGAGTTGAAGGCTTCTTAGGAAGCGGTGCAAACTAGTACAAAAACAGCTCCTCAGTAATGCACAATATTCGATACAGTATCCACCCTGCAGAAATGAAACTACGGGACTGAAACATTGCCTCAAGCACCATACTCTCAAGGCACTCTCCTTTCGGCCACAGTTTTTAAGGATCTTGAGAATATAATACACAAATGCTTCAGAAACCAAGTTTACACTGAATCCGTCTTCAACAATTTCATCACCTCGAGAGGTGTCAAGTTTATAGCAGACGTATTGAATAGCCGTCCTTCCACTATTGACAAAAATGTGCACAATCTGAATGTTCATACTTACATTGGAGATATTGTTTCAAAAAGAGAGGTGCCTCTTTGTAGAAGGTCGCTGATTTTCAGCACTTAATAATATGCCGGCCCTTGAAAATATTGGTAGACCGATAAAATCAAAGAGATATGTGTAAAAAAGCTATTTTCTAACGAACAATTTTAGTGTGGTATAATGCTATCGTTTATGTATTGTTTTACGTTTTGGATATCTCAAATGACTTTCTCAGCAATCCTTTACGATCCGGACAGGTAAAAAATTTAAGATTCTTTGTGATAAGTGGTGGTATGAATGTACCTTGGTAGTGTAGTAGTAATACGCGTCCCGGTACGGATGAAACGCGGGTTCGACTGCCGTCTGAGGTCGTATTTTTGCTCATCATACAGTTCTCTTAAATATATATGAGACATCATAACATTGCGAAAAAGGCAATAAATCAATAGGAATTTCGATTATTACTTATCACAATGGCTGTTAGCTCAAATGGGTTTATGAAGCCAAGTCGCATACCCGACCAAACCTGTTAAAGGTTAGTGGCTGACAGCTATCATAAAGATATTGAAGAATGAGTGGTGACGCTATCGTACCTCGATGGTGTAGTGATAGCACGCGTCTCCGCTAGGGATGAAACGCAGGTTCAACTCCCGTTTGAGGTCGTATTCTTGACTAGCACTCAGTTCTCCTGGATATATATGAAACTCTTTATAATCCTGAAATTTTTAGCTGCTTTTTCGACTTTTCAAAAATATGAGTAGCTGCGTAATGAAAACATAGACGAAATAGTAAAGAAATTTGAAGGATGCATTTGAAACAATTTAGGTGGATATGGGCGTACACCAATTCAGAAGGCTCCCATGTACTGTCGCGTATTGAATTCGTAGCTTCCATGTTCTTCCTTTCATCTACCTTCATAGTCTACATGGCAATCGCTGTAACTATATATAGGGTTTGTTTCCTCACGAGTGGTAAGAGAATTTTTTGTTCTCATTCTAATAAGTGACTTCGGGTGCGGGACACGCAGCTACTGGAAGGTGGTGGTGTAATATGATGAAAAGCAACTCATGCGGTGAGTCCATGCGAAAAATAGTAAAGAAGTAATAGAATGGAATGAAAGTATTATCAAATCTTTGTCATGACTACTATATGATCGGCTTTGATATATACCCAATGTTACAGAGTGATGTGAAAAATTTTAGCGCCAGGCGGGACTAGAACCAACACATCACTCTTTCCGGAATGCGTGCTCTATCCGTTGCACTACTGTGGGCCACTTTGCACATCGCTCTTTCTACGTTACAGCGCATCTATTTCTCAGCCGCCAGCCGTCAACGGCCTGGCCCGGGTAGTAGGTCTCGACACTGAACCCAGTCACGCTGACAGATATTGGGTATTATAAATCAGATGAGATTGTTTTTATTTAACCGATTTTTTGCGGTGGTATGATGTTATTGATATATACCTAGTGTTACAGAATGATGTGCAAAACTTTAGCGCCAGGCACGCATTCCCGGAAATAGTGAGGTACGGGTTCTAGTTCCGCCTGGACGCTAAAGTTCTGCACATCACTCTGTAACACTGGGTATATATCAATAGCATCATACCACCCCACAAAAAAGGCAGTTAAATAGAAACAATCTTATATGATTGGCTCTGAATATGCAACCAATAATGTAACAGAGATTACATGTAAAAAAACTGCGACTCACCAAAGAGAATTGAACTACAAATTAAAGTTGTGTTTGCAAAGGACTTAATATTATCTACCTGGATACGAAGTGGCGAGAAATGCACTAGAGAGCGGGAACAACTTTAGCTGAGTGGGATTCTTTTCAGAAAATCTATCGCCAAATAAGAGACCAGAACACTGCTTTCACTGACTCTTTGACATTGGTGTGCAGCTGAGACTTTGCTGGATACCCAAGCTACATTAGAGTATTTATGGGTTATTAGCAGAAAGTCTGAGCATTATTAGCAGAACTGTGTTTTCTTAAGTAGATAGAGCCGTATCAAACAGTTTAGACATTTGAGAAAAATTTCGTTTTATACATCCATCGCCCCTATCTGAGAGTTCAGCATAACTAGTTTGAATCCGAATACGACAAACTGTGAACTGGATGATGAGAAGCTTCACAGGTTTATGACCAAAATAAGCTGCTGGTAGTGGCGGGCATCAACACTATATTAATATTTTGAGCAAAAAGGCCTTGAAATGGTATGATTGAAGGGTAACTTTTTTCATATGCTGATGGTATTCAGCGCCTCGATCGCTGGTTTGTCACTGATAGGTCGGGAGTGGGCGGAAATCGCTCTCATCACAAAAGAATCCTGTTCGCAAGGCAATATCTCGTCGAATTGAATCTGAGAACTATTGATAGTTGCAAAGATGTGGATATACTTCAACACAGTCGTCTCTGGATTCAAGAAAAAGAATCAACCATTTCCTGACCTGCTATGGAATTTTAATACTAATTGCTGTAGTAACAATGACAGTAACAGTGCTCCAACAAAGAGCAACACGACAGTTGGTACTAGTTTTGTCTGAAAGGGCAAAACTATTGGACTTTTGCAGTGATGGGATAGTGCAAGTCATTGTTAAAAGCAGATAAGCACTTGGTTTTTCTAAACTTATTTTTTAGATGAAACAAGGATTGAATTCTATTCAAAAGATCGAACTTCAAGTGATCGTTCAAGCGGCAATTTCTTTCCTGGTACTGACTTTTCTGATTATTTGCTGGCATTGGCACGATTATTTCTTACCGGATTCGATGTGGGACAGTTTTCGCGATAAATTTGTACTATATAGTGTGCTGCGGACTTAATCCACTTCTATGCTTAGCGTGCTCGAGGTAAATAGTTTGCTACCATAGATTGACGTGCAAATGTTCTTCACAGTTGTGACAATTTGAACTGCAGACGAAACTACGAAAGTTGGTAATATCTCCTGATCAAAGAGTTTGCCGTCAATTTTTGCTCAGCTATATAATTATACTTCATAGTCTTTATGAATTATCGTGCATAATATGAAAGATAGTTTAAGGATTCCTTTTTTACACGACCTCGTATCACATTTTACTGTGCCAATTACAGCATTCCTTGAATTCGATTTGTTTTGTTGCATTCATTATCCCACATTGTTCCCAAAGTACTAAGGACATATCCGTGCTGTCTCGACTGCTGCTTAAAATTTTGGGCACATTTCTGTTATCTCCACCCTTTTCAGCCTTTGCCATTCATGCCCTTGCTTTTACTTAGACTAGCGGTTTTTTCAATAGAATAAGTAAAAAAAATTTTTAAGAGGCCCTTTTTCGTGAAAACACCTTTCTCTTGCACTGTAGCAACGAAATTATAGGTTATCTCCTAAATTTTGACACTGTACAGTAAAAAACAATTTTATTAGCCAGAAGTAATTAAAGTTGCTCATGAATACTATTCAAAAAGCGCGCCATCAGCCTAAACACATTTCTGCCGACTGTGAGGCAACAAATCAAAACCGCTTGGTGCGGTTATTTCTGCGTTTTGTTTTGGTACCAAGTTTGTCCACATTTGCCGCACCATGGCCGCCCAACGAGCCTTTATCGCACTTTGCTGCGTAACTAGTGCCACTTGGGGCGCAATACGCAGACCGCCTTCGAGAACATCAGTCGTACAAAAGCTTCAAGATATGCGTCTAAGCAAACAGCTTTCGCTTCCTTACTGAGTTTTACGCCGACAATACCAAGTTGAAGAAAAGGCTACGCTCTGGATGTCCACGCGCAGTTGGTCAAAAGGTCGTCATGCTCGTCATCTTTTAAGACCGAACCGGGCCGTTTCACTGGGACTTGCTGTCAACCGAAGAGACGATCAGTGTCATGAGCTAATGTGAGTACCTGAACTCTGGCTGCAATTGGGCTCTGTCACGTCGACGTCCCCGCGATCTCATCCTGCCTCAAAACAACGCAAGGATGCATATCGCCAGATTGGTAGAGAGAAAATTGACCGAACTAGAGTGGGAGTTGCTGATCGTCGTCGGTGCAGTCCTGACATGTCGCAGTTTAGATGTCATCTCTTTCACGCGTTGGAGCATTTCCTGAGCAAGAAGAAGTTCCGATACATGGAACATTTGCGTCAAGTTTGACAAGTTCTATTTAGGTACTGAGAATGGCGAGTTTCACGAGCGCGGTGCTGATGTTGTTTAAGAGATTGCCTCAAGATGCTATAGCAGCCAAAGGAACGTTGAATTTCTCAATCAGCACGCATTTTGTGGTGTGCGATTATTGTTGGTGAATTCAAGATGCTCTCCGATTTGAAACTTCCGAGTAAAGCATATGACCTCGAATCCAAAAAAACCTTTTTTTATAACATCATATGTTTATATATATATATATATATATATATATATATATATGATTGGCCTGCTCAGTTATAGGCTGTTTAAGTTTGAGCTTAGCCTTAATGGCAGATTGAATTAGCAACATAACATAGAAATTGAAAGCCTAAACGTATAGAACAGTAGAACAAAGTTTCTGCGCACTCAACTTCAGAATCATCAAAAAATTCAAATATCAAAAAACCGTTATTTTGCGAAAGCAAGGAGGAGTGGAGCCAATATTGTGAAAGCCCATTCATACATCGTAACAAATTACACGCCGAATGTGAAACCGAATTTTTGACTGCTATTAAGCTTTTTCAACAAACCAAAGTGCACTATAAAAATCATCCAGATTTGTTATCGAGTGATTAATGAAAGCCAAAGGGAATAGTTTTGTCCAGCGAAACATGCTCAAGTGCGGAACTTAATATTGTTTTTTGTTGCTACAGCACGACGGAAGGGCCTTTTCAGAACAAAAATACGCTATTGAAAATTAATCTTCAGATCTGAACTATTGAATGACTACCAAAACTCTGAAGAATAGCAAAGAAGCGTGAATGCCAATGAGCTGAACATGGGTGGAGATAACAGAAATGTGCCGAACTTTGACTTCTTTACGAATGACGTGGAGTAGCGGTCAAGGTTACTTTTTTTGCAGTCTCAGAGGTAGTCGAATTGGAACGTTCCGTAAGGCAATCGTTGAATGATAGCAAGAATTTTCGGACTGATATACGATTCAAAACCCTACTTTCTTGATAGAGGTTTTTTAGTCACAATTGTATGGTAATAAAGGCAGGCCTATATTGGTAATGTCCCCGTAGTGAAGATTAACATTTCTGGAACCTGGCATGACGAATTTTCTGCTTAATACTGAATACATTTCTGTTAAGTTCTTTTTGTCATGCTCAAATATGACCAAAACACAATATATGCATTTTCCAGGAGCATCCGCCACTCGTTTCTTCAGTTCATCCGCTTGACGTTACCAGATCAGACCATCATCGTTGCGCCGATAACCGTCAAGAAAAACATACTGAGCACTAATATATCAAATGTACAGTTTCGTATTCGTATGTCCAGAGCAGTTTTAAGTTGACATTTCTCTACCGACATTATCATCTAAAAGCTACCTGTACAAAGACAGTAACTGGACCTTTATGATATTCTATTTGGTGGATAATATGCGATAATTTTTGAATTTTTAAATGTATAGTAGATGATTGTGGGCATGTTACTGAAGTTTCGCGTTTCGTTAAAAAACTTCGATAATACACTGACACTTTTTTACTTCAGTCACACAATCTAGCA